GCTATGCTGATCAACTGAACGCTGTCTCCATGTCATTCCTTCTTTGCCAACTCTGTCCACACCTTTGGGAACCCCTGGACCTTCTGGGGCTGGACCCCAGCAGGTCGCGACCCACAGGTTGAGAACGGCAGCTCTAGTGTTTTCCTCTCATTTAGAGTTGATCTAAACTCCTTTTTGTGACTTACAAAGTCACATGTGGTGTAACCCCGTACCCTCTTTGACTTCATGTTATACTCACTTCCTGCACACTTAACTACATAACAGCCCCAATGGCCTGCCTTCTGTCCTTAAAACATGCAAGACTAAGGCCTTCACATTTGCTGTTTTCACTAGCTGGTATATCTTTATTCTACTCTATTTTCTCATCCTTTATGTCTTGTTTTATTTTTATTTATTTTTATTTTTATTTTTTTCTTCCCCCCAGGCAAGGCAGATATCTATGTGGGAAAGATGTCCTCAGCTGTGTGAGGGAATGACTCAGCCCAGGAAACTTGGGGTGTCTGCCTTCTGAGCTCTCTCCCCTGAGTCCCCTATGTCTTGTTTAAATGGTACCTCTTCATAGAAGCCCTCCATATTACTCTACTAATAGTGCATCCTTTACCCACTCTATCATATCACCATATTTTACTTTTCTATGATTCTCATCACCATCAAAAGTCATTTCTTGGTTTATTGGCTCTCACCACCAGGATGTTAGCTCCATGACTGCTAGGATTTAGTTCTCTTATTAACCACTATACCCCCAGCAGCCAGAACAGCAGATAGGACATAATGCTGTAAACACTTCTTGAAAGAATGACTATCTCTCCTTTAGGTCACAAGTGAGGACAGTGAGGCCTGAAAGTGAAGGATATGTGTCCAAGTGAGTGGCAGAGGTGAGACTACAGAGCATGCTCTCTGACTCTCAGAAGAGTCATTCATGACAGTCAAGTGCTAGTACTCAAGCTTGAGCCAAGCATGGAGGTTTCAACAGGACCAAGCAAGGACCCTTCTATACCTGATCCTATTAAAATCTTGACCCTCTCACAGACTTTTTCTCATTTGATGCCCAGAGATGAAAAGCAAAGGAAGATGAACTGAAATCTTGTGTGTGTGCCACTGCTGGTCTCAGAGCACTCTTAAGGGTGGTGGGTATACAGGAGGCTCCAAAATTAAACACATTTTGGCTTACATAATTATGTAACTGCTCTGTGTTTCAGATCCTAATATGCAAAATTGAACTAGTATTTCAGTCTGTCCCCCTCATAGCATAGTTGTAGTGATAAATGGGTTAATACCAAATCTACATAGGATATCACAAGTCCTGGCATATAGCAATCTCTCAATAAATGCTTATTATAATAAATAGAGGCCCAGTGCAAGAAATTCATGCACTGGAGGGGTGTCCCTTAGCCTAGCCTGCACCCTTTCCAATCTGGGACCCCTCAGGAGATGACCGACTGCTGGTTTAGGTCCAATCCCTGTGGGGGTGAGGGGCAGGAAGAGATTAAACAAAGATCTTATATGCATACTAGAGGCCCAGTGCATGACATTTGTGCACTGTGGGGGAGTCCCTCAGCATGGCTTGTGTCCTCTCACAGTCTGGAACCCCTTGGGGAATGTCCATAGGGAACAGGTCTAAGCTGGCAGGTGGACATCCCCCAAGGGGTCCTTAGTGTTGCCATGGATGCAGGAGAAGGTCCTGCCCCCACCACTGTGCTCACCAGCCATGAGCCCATCTTCTGGCTGAGCAGCACTCCTCCTATGGGAGCGCACTGACCACCAGGGGGAAGCTCCTGCATTGAGAGTCTGCCCCTTGGTGGTCAGTATACATCATAGCAACTGGTCATTCCACCGTTTGGTTGATTTTCATATTAGGGTTTTATTCTGCCAGCCTGATTGATGCCTAACTGCTCTCCTCCTGGCTCAATTGCCTGCAACTGCCCTCTCCTGCCAGCCTGGTCCCCCACCACCACCACAACTGCCCTCCCCTGCTGGTCTGATCACCCACAACTGCCCTCCTCTGCCAGCCATCTTATGCAAGGGTGTTACAGTCAATTTGCATATCACCTCTTTATTATATAGGATATTATTATGTTATCCATTCACTCTCTTGCTTAAAACTTGTCTTGAGCCTCAAGTGCCCCAAACTAGATATAAAATAAGTCAGTTAGAGAAAGACAAATACCATATGATCTTACTTATATATGGAACCTAATTAACAAAATAAATTGATAAACAAAATAGAAATAGGCATAGGGAGGGGTTGCAGGAATGGATGAAAGAAGGTGAAGAGATGAAGCAAAAACACATATATATGTAACACAAAGACAGACAACAGAGTAGTAATAACCAGAGGCAAAGGGGTTGGAGGTAGGTGAAGGTGGGCAAATGGGAGGAAATGGGGATGCAAAGACTTTGCTTTGGGTGATCGGCACACAATGTAGTATGCAAATGAAGTTTTACAGAGTTGTACACTCCACTTTGGGGAATATATCTTAAGAATCTTGAAACACCAATCAGAAAGAATATGTACACCTTCATGTTCATAGCAGCACAATTTACAATAGCTAAGATTGGGAAGCAGCCCAAGTGCCCATTAGTAGATGAGTGGATTAAAAAAAAGTGGTACATTTACACAATGGAATAATATACAGCTCTAAAAAAGGATCTCAGAAATTCAAGATGGCAGCCGACATGACAGCAGTGAGGGAGAGATGTGAGTGAGGGAACAAAAGGGGAGTGCGTGGACATGTGGTGTGTGTGTGTGTGTGTGTGTGTGTGTGTGTGTGTGTGACAGTTATATTACACAGGACCTTTGGGGGCTGGTAGTAGATGGCCTCTACTACTGCTGCAATCTCTCACAGGGCAACCATCTCTGCTGCAGAAGCCACACCATCTTAAAGGAGAGAGCTGCTATGACTGGAAGCCCAGCCTCACCTCCACCCAGGGAGCCCTCAGACACCACCCAGGACCCTACAACAACACTAGCCAGGGACCTGCTGCCTTGGCTATGAACCCACAAACACTGAGACTGCAGCTTCTCCAGCCATGGGCTCCTAAAATGTTTGTCCTTCGGGAGACAAAATTGTCACTGAATAGACAGATGTTTTCTGCACAATCTCATGGAGCAGATAGAAGAAACAACTAAATCGAGTAGCATCCACCCAGAATTGGTGAATTAAACACAGCTGGTGAGAGAATCTGTGGCCATAAAGAGTAGAGGATGCCTGGAGAATGGTAGGGTCAGGGATCTGGGCTGGAGAGAGAATTGCACAACCATCGGGACTAGAGGGTCAGGAGGAAACTGTGCTGCACCAACTCCGCATCCCTTGGGGACACACATAATAGTTGACTGTGGAAGGAGGTCCACAGGGCTGCTGGTAGCGGGGGTCTCTAGATCTAAGTCCACAGCCATGGGAGGCTGCACACAGAAGGCAGACTGAAGTTCGACACTGGCCCCACAGTGCCGGGGGAGAGAAACAAGCGGCAGTGTGGTTGCTCTGTCTTTATATATTCCTTGCTTTTACTCACTAAACCCAGTACATAGGATCTTTCAATTACAAACATCCACCGAGGCTGCAGTGCAGGTAGAGGCGGTTTGGTGGAAGCTGGGGAGCAAAGCAGGGAGAGGCAACCAGGAATGCAGCTCTGGGACAGTCCAGTCCCTCTAACCCTAAACAGTCACTTTTCTCTAAGAGATAGCCCCTCCTAGAGGTCCCAGAAACTAATAAAGCAACACCACCACCTAGATCCCATGTCAGAAATAGACTCTTGTGTAAATATGACTGAAAGCAGTCAAACAAACAAAGTGGGCATATTGATCCCACCTTCTGGAAACCAAGACTGTGGAGACAGACACAGAGGAGTGGTAGATCACTGGGAACTTCAACACGGTGCTGACTATCTAACAGGATACTGAGAAGTGCCAGACAGAACAGTAGAGAGGGGTTTAATCCAGCCCCCAAGGAACATTAAAACTCAGCTGAAGCAAAGAACACTTCACCACTTCACTTTTTTTTTTATCTTTTACTTAAGAAAGGAAAAGAAAAATTGTTTATTTTAGTTTAGTTTAGTTTAGTTTATTTATTATTTTTTTAAGCTTTAATTTTTGGGATTAGTGTTCTACATTCTATTATTTTTATTTTTTATCATTATTTTACTTTATCTCATTGTTTTCTTTTTGCCAACATTTTCTTCCTCACTTCTCCCTTTTTCATCTTGTTACTCTTTTCCTGTTCCTGTTTTAGTTTGTCTGTTTTGTTCTTTTTACTCCTTGTTAAAAATTGATCTTTTTATCTGCTTTATTGGTGCATTACTATTATAGTAGTCTCTGTTGGCTTCCTCATATATCTGATTTCCTCTCCCCTGATCCAAGTCCATGCACCCTTCTCTTTC